TTGTTTTTCTACTTAAAATAAACTGGAAAATATTGCATGTTTAGTAAATATTTTTCGCATGATTTTTATAAAAGACGTAATTGTAGTTCATTTACTTTATAAATTTGTCATGTTTACTTCATTTTAAACTAACATAGAATTGAAATTCAAAATAATAATAATAAATACTTTAATATCAAAGAATCGTAAACAACTTAAACGAGTTCTCTTATTCGTATCTATGGATATTTAACAAGCAAATCAAAAAAAGAATATATTTAGTTATAAATTATATAAACTGATTTCTGATTTTATACATTTTATAATGAATGTATTGAATATTTTACGCGTTACCCCCTATATAATATATTTATTTCTTTATAGATGTCCATTCTGTCAAGAAAATAGATATCTGAAACCACTTTCAGTATGTGTTGTTCATCTTTAAATTCTCACGAGAGTGTACGAATCTCAAGTTAGAGAAAATACGCAACTTATACTTTATTCTAGATCAGTTTCCAGAGTTAAATCTAAAAGTATTACATCAATGTTATCAATGTAACATGCTCTATATCAGTGTTTCTAAATCTTGGGTGCGTGCATTCCTGGGGGGTGCGAGAAAGCATTTTCAGGACTGAGAGTGGTAAGGATAAGTTTTTAATTTTTAGATGTGTAATATAAAATTTAAAGCTGTCTTATGCTATATAAATTTGACTTACTGGATACTCTCAGAGCTCACGATAAACTGGAAAAACAATGATGATGTCCAGGACTCTCACAACTACCTTCTATACAGTATCTTTGAAACCTTTTCAGGGGACACGAGATCGTATTTTGAGATTCAAGGGGGATCACTGAAAAGGTTAAGAAATATTGCTCTATATCAAACGAAGCATTCTGCAATATAAATTAAATATATATTTAATCCAATTTGAAAAGAGTTTTTAATACAAATTTATGCTTAATAAGGATAAAGTATAAAATTTAAGAGAATATTTTAAAGAATTTAAAAATAAAGATTATTTGCGAATTCTTTATAACATATTTTAATGAGAAGTAGAAGATTAAAAAAACAATAAACGTGTTTTTATATTTATCTACAGAAAGAAAATGCTGTCAAAATAGTTATATCAAGTTTTTAGTGTTGGCTACTATGCTTTTATAGAGGTTGTCATATTCTTTACTACTTCTACGAAACGTTGCAAAGAATATAACATCAGTTCTGTAACTGAGAACTGTAGGGTTTTAACCTTTCTAACATTCTTATATCATCATCAATACGTAGAAAACTTTTTGAAGTACTACTTATCCTTGAATTTTAATAGCTGTGAGCTGTTTATACGCAATTTTATAAAGATGATCGGATCATTCTGATGTATCCTCTACCTGGAACACTTTCTATAAACGATAATATTAAACACTGAAGTTTAAATTAAAAGTTTATTCTTTAAATGCATTAATCGTTGTTTAAACAATATCTCATAAGCTTAAAACACAACTAAATATAATATAGAGAATATAATCAATAAAATCTATAAAAACTAAAAAAAATAAGATAATATTTTAAAGCTTATTTTCATAAATTTTAAAATGCAAATCGCAAACATGATAATTAGGTTTAAAATTAGTCTACTTTTTAACTTCATCAAAATTAACCATGACATGGAATTATTTAGTTATATAACAATTTTCTTTGATTAAAAAATAAAATATAAAGTATGATAATATGTTTGTTTACTGAATATTCTAATATTAGAAACTTTAATCTACTTAGAGATATTTTTATTTAAAAATAAAATAAAATAAAACTACTTTTCAGCAACCAATCGTATCAGTAGTAGAGGTGTGTAATCACTTTCTATTCTATTATTTTGCTTTATCTACGAAAATTTAAACAAAGCGAATATCCGATATAATACCTAATTATTATTTACTTATCAGAAAATAACCATCATTTCGTTTTATAAAAATTTTATTTCTTATTTTTCTCAGTTTTTTTCCCGTCATTTTACTATATTCAGTTACTGTACCAACCAGTGGCCGAGTGAATAAAACCACTAAACACACCTAGTCGAGGATTCGCACCTCACTACAGGATGGCCACATGGAGTTTTCCTGATTTTTTTCACGTCTCTAACACCTAAACGAAGTCCATTTTCTCAGAGAAAATCCTCCTGTGAGGCGTCTCTCCTTGGTAGTTGCCCATGTATTATCTTATTTCATCTATCTTGTATATTCAAAAACAGTATCAATGCTGTATATTAATTAATTATTTATTATAAGCGTTATATACTGTGACTATTGAAACTCTTGTTTATGTTTATTTAGCAGTATTTTACTCGCAAACAATTATCATCACATAAATATTTATCGCAATTAATAATTTACACGCGTACAAATACTGAATAGGTGCAACTGTAAACATTTTTGTGTTATTATTATTATTATTAATGTTATCTTTACTGTGTTTATTTTACATATTACTTGAATTATTCGAGATAAATGTCCTTTGAAAACACACATACATGTTATGAATAGCTTATATTTCTTATTAAACTTACGAAAACTATTTAATTTTATGCTGTATAAGCCATATTTTATTTATTCCCTTGCAAGTGTAGTATATTTATTACTTGTTTTATAACTCATATTCTTATGTACATACTGTACGTGCATTTATTTATGTTATAGATGAATAATAAACTAGCAAGCATGTTTAGAGAATGTATATGATGCTACACATCTTCAGGCCCTATCACAAGAAACTAGTAGGGCCATTTAGCTCGACCTTCACATTTACAGGAGACCCAAAACATTTCTTATAAATTACTCATTCCATTGTATATCTTGTGTATTAAGAAAAATGGTTTTATTTTTTTCTCAAATTTAAAATTCTGTTTTGTTTAATATACTGGGTACCTCAAAAAGATAAATGGCTCGAACCTCTTTTGACTTTTAAGAAATTCTATGTACCCTCGCCTATATATTATTTTGATTTTAAGATAATCAAAATAATTGATAATCAAAATTTTTGTCTTTGTTTCCTTTAAGGTAGGAAACAAAGACAAAAATTCATGCGTTAAGAAGAAACTAAAATTTCAATGTTTAAGTCAATGTTTTAGTATGCTATGTATTCTGCTTCTAGTCCTGGCTCTGTTATATACTGTATATATATATAACAGAGGGGAAGTATGGCAATCGGTCAAAAAATGATCACCCGAGATTTTTGACCTTAGGACATTTTTGGACTTAGGATACTTTGAAACGTCGTAAAATGCAAATATTTAAGGTTTTTTTTCTGTATGTATGGATGTTAGTGTGGGGGGGCACAATTTTGTTCACCAACTTTGAAGCTTAATAACTCCTGTGCTTTTTGTCGAATATTTCTGAAATTTTCAGGGAATTTTGTTTATTAGGGGGATTGATGCCATTAAATTTTGGTGGTTAAAGGTCGAAGGAATAGAGAGATAATGGGAGTAGTGTGTAGGGTCGGACTTAATGACGATTTTATTCGATATTAGCATTTATAATTTTTTAATAAAACCCACCCCTACCCTCAAAATTAAGTTTTTGCCATTTTATAATAATTAAAAATATAAAAAGATTTTAAAAATAAAATATCGTAACAGGTGGCGTCACACACGCAGTTTTAAATGTTGCCCGGAAAGTTAAGCAACTCGTTGCTGGATTTTATTATGTTCCCGTCAGTGGATGTTGTTCAGAGATTTAACTGTATTTAATTCACATGTCATATGATCGTTGTATTAGTATAAATCCTTATACATTAATGCATCTTTCATGTATTTCATGCATGATACATAGAATTTAATTCAATTGATTTATTTAAACATTGTAATTTCATGTATAATATAAATTGTATTTTATTTATATCAAGCACATAGCTAATATGTATTTTCCTATGTATTTATTCTATATTGCATACCATTTACTTATCATACAGGTTAATATAGCATTACAATATATAAATATGCGCATTTTATGTGTTATATTTACGTATATTTTGATTACTTTTTATCAAATAAAAGTATGTCTAAATAAATTAATTAAATTTAAATAAGGAAATAGAATNTATCATTAATTAAATTTATTTTAAATTAATAAAGTTAAAATTTGAAATGAAATCTCATAAATTTTAAAATTAAAAAAGTGGACAATAGAATTTTCTTCCTCTTTTTTAGTTTTTAGAATAGAATAAATATTTTATACAAGAATGTAATAAGTACATCTCGGTTTATTGAACTGTCTGAAAGAAAGAAAACAGTTTGAAAATGGTTTTCAAAAAATTTGTAATGTTTTCCTCCTCCGACATCTTCTGTATCTAGTTTATGTCACGTCAAACGATTTTGAAACTATATTTTTTTATTGGAAGAAGAACAGAACAATACATTTGAACTTAAATTTATCAGAATGGAAATTAAAACATGCTCACACTTGAATTTTATTTATAGAATATTTTAATTAATAAATAATTCTTTAAAAAATTCGACATTTATTAATTTTTCAACTTACATATTTTGCTAATATTTACTAAACGGGATAAGCATTTGTTAACTGACGTCATGACTGGCCTTAATTAGAATCACAAGATGGGAGAGACGTACGGTTTGGCACAGTTTGTTCGTCTTGCAATTGTCACCCGTCAGTCGGTCACCAACTTGTGGATAGTTGGTTTGCCAATATATAAATCGTAACTGATCGACAGTGGTAGATTTTTATATCGGAATTTCTAGATAGTGATATACTTCGAGGGACGTAATCACCAGTTTGGCTCCTTGCCAAAGCTTGACCTAGATGGTTCTCTATTGACGTCATGTGAATGACTCCGACGCCCAATAAGACGTTAATCCAGCACGAATGAGAGAAGAGAATGATACGTAAATGTCGACTTAATAACATCTTTTGTTTATGTTGTTAAGAGTAAACATCATTAACACTTCTTATTGGATTCCGAGCTTCTAAATTTAACTCTGAATTATTAACATTTTAAATTATTGTTTGTTTGTTTGCAATCTGTGTATTTATTGAATATTCATTATAATCATTTCTATAGTGTATATAAAATATTTGAAATAAAACCTAAATTATTAATTTTTATTTCAGGTGGCTCCTTGGGAAACTCTCGTCTTACGCTGAGTTCCCGTGATACCCCCTTGTCGCAAAAATCTGCATCATTGGATTTCGTAGATGAAAGCATACAAGTGGACTTGTCTGCAGACACCATTACATACGATTCGGATGATGAAATGGTGAAAAGGAGAGTGAATATCCTTCGCAATAAAAAGGGACATCCTATCTATTCGAGAGAGGATATAAGGGAACAGTATTGCATTAATAAGAAAGAAGAGGAAGTGCTCGAAAATGCCAGAACGAATCGTTTCTTTGGTTGTCTGGCAAATCAACAAGAAAGTCCATGTACTAAAAATTCTATCTTATTCTCTTGTATGAAAAAGAAAGCGAATAGCGACGAGAACCTCTACATGCCCGAAACACCAACAGCATGGACTAGTTCTTCGAAAACAGAGGAAGATGAAGATGAATTCGCTGGTTCGGGATTTCGACGAAGGCCAAGGACGTTTTGCGTCACAGATCCAAAAATTTGGGCAGATAGCGATGATCAGAGTCGAACTAAAACTAAACTTGCAAGCTCGGCCAGTTTAGGTAGTCAACATAGTACAGATAGTGAAGGTTTCAGTCGTTGCATTCAAAGACCGTCCCAATTAAGTATAGGAAGGCAAGAAATAGCACCAAGTCAAAGTGTAGATGCACTCAATGACACTTACAGTAGGAGAGAATTGTATAGAAGATCATCCAAAACTCCAGATTTCAGTTTAGATGACCGAAGACCAAAACATGTGAGTTTCGATTCCAGTTCTATGATTAGAAGCAATACGGTTGCAGGTGGATTAGAAGAAGTGGATGTGGGTCCCGCAGCCACATCGACGCCTCTCAACAGCCAGAAAAGGAACTTTTCCCCCACGCATCGTCATCATTCGCAGGAACGTCTTTTGGATTTATCGGGAAGTAAATCGTTTGAAATGATATTGTCACGACCTTTAGTGATTAAACCTCGACGTGCAATGCTTAAAACTCAAGCTACGCAAACAGAATTAACATTTAAGGCACGATTTTTGTTGCCCGCTTACTTGACTTTATCACCTCGTGCCACCGCTCAATACAGGCAAAAACTTCAGTCACAGCGTAACAGAAGTGTTTCTAGACTTACGAAAAGTAGGTCTGCGCATGGAGTTTTAGGTAGTGATAGCGATGAAGAAATTATGGAGGTGGATATGGTCAGTAAACATCCCAAATTAGTCAGATCTGCAACTAGACATAGTTTAACAAAACATAGAAGTTTTGATGCGCAGCAAGAGATTATGGTGTCTTTTAAACCGGTTTCACCACCGAAATCTAGAGAGGTGTTAATTGGAGAAAGACCTAAAATTTCGACAAAATTTGATATAGCCAAAGATGACATTGTTAAAATCGCTTCACCTGTTCCAATAATGACTAGTTCAGATTCAGCTCCAAGTATTCCTGTTGATACTCATCCTATCAGTATGGCTGTTTCGGAAAGTGAAGATATGACAGAAAAAACGTATTCTGGAACAGAAGAAGACAAAGGAAAAGATGATGAAAAATTACGTAGAGATTCTTCAAGTTCTATGGTATCATCTGAAACTATGTTTATACCTCAAAGAAAAGCTAGATATTATATGACAGCCCTTTTGGACAGTGGTGGTCAAGATAGTTCTTTTTTAAAATCAAGTGAATTAAGCAGAACAAAGTTAAAATCCAAAGTTACACCCGTGAAAGCTTTAGAAGTAGAAACCGAATCTCCTACAGTCACAACAGATGGTGGAATTCAAACTTCTCAGGTTAGTACACCATCCGCACAGGAAGTTCCAGTAATAAGCAAACAAGAATTTATGACATCTCCTGATAGTGAGTCTTCCAGTAGTATTTTCACAGAACGAGAAACATCTCGCAGTGAATTGTCAACAAGTAGTTCCAGTCACGTTTTGAAAAGTGAACCATCTAATAAAAGTGATGCTGAAGTTGAAGAAGTTAGTGAGAGTTCAGAATACGTTACTGCTACAGATTTGTCGTATCAAACACGCCGAGAAAAAACCCAGACTGTTATCAGTAAAAATAGTACCGAAGAAGGTCATACTTCTTTTGAAAGCGCTTCTTCGGCTAGTATATTTAGTTCACCATCTTCTCGTAGTAGTCAGATTAAATCTCCAGTTCCTCTTCCTCGAGATGACGAGTCGTCAGATGAATCAACAAAAAAAGAGGCTGTAAGTTCCGACTCGGAATCAGGACAAATGTCTCCTATACAGGAAGGGCCCGACGAAAGAGCTTTAGATGTTACACCCGTACCTGAACCTTCTTCGGAGCAGTCGAGTCATCAAGATGCACAGACAGTTATCGAAAATAAGAGTGATGCGACATCAGAGGAATTACTAGAATCGATATCATCCTCTCCTCTAAATAGAGAAGAGTCCGAATCTAGTGATAGCTCTAGTGTTTTTTCTGGTGTGCAAACTGATCTTCCTCCGATAAGGACGTTCAGACCCGAAGATATTTCTGAAGTTTCGGAAGAGAGTAATCAGGAATGGAAACGAAGGAGACAATTTCATTTAATGGCCAGAGAAGAAATTAAGCCTAACGGTGTTAGATCATCATCGTCAGATTATTTGCCTTCAGAAACGACAACTCCCAGTTATGATAGTACTACTTCGGGTAGTTTTATATTAGAAAGCATTGGTGGAGAAAGTCTTAGTGAAGACATCATTCCTGAACAGCTTTCTCTGGCAATTGCAGCACCGATATCTCAAGAGCAAGAAGAAATTAAAAGTGATGAGTTAGAAACTGAAAAATTGATTTTGGAAGTGGTAAAAACTATTTCTGAACAAGAAGAGAAGAAAGATAAATTAGAACAGAAAGAAATATCAGAACCTGCTGTTTGTAAAGAACATACTATTCCTTCGGTATTTGTCTGTGATGTCACTTCTAGTAGTAGTTCTATTGTTAGTCCAGAAACACAGCCAACTGACGTTTCTGTCGAAATAAGTTCCAAAGAAGAATTAAGTGCCACAGCAGCAAAGGAAGAAACACAGTTTAAGTCTGGAGTTAGTGAAGGAGCTATTCCAAAACAAAGAGATGCTGATCAAGAAACGAAGCGAAGAAGAGAAAGAATACGTATCAAAGTAGACACAGTCGAGTCACAACCATTTCTTGGATCCTACCTCAGCCCTGATGATAGGGATTTGCCATCAAGACGCCCAAGATCTTTAAGTCGAAGCCCAGATAAAGAGGAAGAAGACCAAGAGCAAAAACTCTTATGTAGTCAGTGCGGAGAAAAATTAAGAGATACAGCGCATTCACCTTTCGGTTGGGATCGTTCTTATCAAAGACAGTTTTGGGAACCTACTGCAGACATTCTGAGACATTGCCGTGATAGACCTAGCAGCAGTTTTGGCGATTCTTATGGATTCCCAAGATATTCTCCATATTCTCCGAGATGGGGAGACTTACCTGTTGTACCTGGTGCGGAAGATCCAATGTTTCGAGATGAAGAAGAAGATGCGGGTGAGTAAAACAAATAAATTTACAATATCGATTTCAAGTACAGTCCTTTAGTTCGGTAAGAAAATCATTATTTTAAAACTTTAATATATGTTGCTGTTGTGCAGACTAATTGTTCAAGCTGTGGAAAATAAAACTAAGCAAAAATTCTGTGAATATAAACCTTATTTTATAATCTAAATAAAATAATAATTGATAAACAGAAACAGAGACTGGATACATCTGCTGATTTTAGCGCTTTCACAAACTGTTAATAGTAAAAAATAAATAAATAAATAAAATAAATAATAATAATAGAACAATATATCTAATCAACTCAATCGTTTATATATAATACTTTTCATTGATAAAGTGATGAAATTGCATGAGATTATTCTCATGTGAAACCTTCATTTCATCATATTTCATCTATCATTTCCCAATGTTGCTGAATCTATCAGCGATTCATTTAAGATTTAAAACCATCATTACAGAATTTATTTTATACTGTTTTAACATTTAAAATTTAAATTTCAAATTGTTATCGATGAGATATAAAAATATAATCATTAGAAATAATAACTTTTAAATTATTTAAATTTTTTTTAAAAATGCAGATTAAATTAATATAATTTTGCTGCCTCGAATATTGATTTATATACTGTACAAATAAATTAATTTAATTAGATTTTCAGTTTTAAAAATTAATGGACCATACAAACAGCAACGATAAAAACTTTTAAAGTAAGATTTTATTGATTTAATAAAATTTTTAGTACGATTTATGATTTTATCAGTAAAAGTTCTTCAGATTCAATTAAAATTTATTCAGGTCATTGTGTATAAACATTAAAACAATTTTTTTTAGAACAAGAATACTCCAATTTGTAAATATATGCTTAAAATTCAATAGATAAAATTTATTATCTTTACAAAATTAAAATTTCAAACTTATTCGAACGTTATAAACTAAAATGTATGTCTCATTACTGTAAAATTTAACGATCAGTTCTACAGACGAAAGTACAAAATCGCATTATAATTCTGATTTATTTGTTTATCTCTCATTATATTTATTATTTAAAATAATAATTATAATGCAAATAAATATTGTATGCCTTCAAATCAGAAACATTAAATGTTAAATAAACCTTAAAGTAACTTAATTAAATATAGTTAAAGTAGGAACATTAATTTTGTAAATCATGAATATATTTTCATTATAATCTATTGAATTGTTAACTGATAAACATCAAAACATCGAAATTGAAATTGGCAATGGATCAGCAATGTCAATGGAAAAGCCAATCTTGTGATTGATACTTCTGTTCTAGATACGGACTTATTGTTTAAAACTATTAACTTTTCTTTTTATTTTTTTAATCAAACTTCGAAAAAAAGAAACGATTTTATACCGAGAATTCTAAAATGATAAACAATTCCAGTCAAACTTTTCTAGATAAAAATCGTTCCTCTGAGAGTCTAATCTACAACTATCTTTAGCTAATGAAATTTCGGAATATTGTCTTACTTAGAGTTTACATTAAGCTTGAACTATATTATACCCAAGAGTAAACTTATTATCTACGTAGGATAATTAAATTATTAAGGAAATAACTTCTCAATAAAATATTAAATGTAACATCTGAGTATTCCTTTAGATAATACTAACTAATTATTACATTTAACAGTTAATATAATTAGAGTGTCTTTGGAGAAAAATGATTTGTTAACTATAATATATGGAATAAATATATAAACTAAATGCGGATAAATTAACTGGAAAAATTAAGAAATATGCAATTGTTCTTATGAATAATTCTAATAAATAAATAATTCTTTCTTTAATATATAAATCTCGGCAGAATCCGATGGGATGGTGAATGCCAAAGGCCAATAAATTTCCTCATAAATTTTCGACTATATTCAAATTGGTACTAAAACTGTTATATACATTTCTCATCAAAACACTTCACTACATAAAATAAGTAGAAATCTTCTTTACTCATCTCAAAGCACTTTATTTCATAGAATAAGCGAGTTTACTCTTTCTTCAAACTTTAATCGTATTCATTAACTTGGAATAATCTAGCGACATTTAACCAATTTAACACATTTCAATTAATTTTTAAAATAATTAATAGAAGGACTCATTAATTATTCAAATATTAAATTATTCTTTTTTTAAAAAAAAATTACATAGAATAATTAAAATTTAGCGTTTTTTTAATGAAAGGATGCAAATAATTTTTTTTTGTATTATTTTCAAAAATGATGCCACAATTACTGCAACATATCTGAATTTATGTGTTAATGATTAGAGATGTGGCATTGTTTTCGAAGTGTTAGCAGATGGGCCTGATTCGTTCACTAATTAAAGCCCCTGCTACGTTTCCTTATAGTTCTACATCCTGTTAATGCTTGTTCTCAATAGAAAGAGAGAAAATCAATAGGCTTTGCGCCGTTCTAGAGCCTATCATTAGAATATATTCATCGGTTGTTTTCCTCTGGTGGCTAACATGTGGAAGGCTATTATCATCAAGAAGGAATTTTAAGCGATTTGTCATGTTATCCTTTATTTGAGAAATATAAATAAAATTCGAATCGGATGAACGCTTCACTTTGACATCGCCTTTTAATTTTCGATGAAGCGAACAAATCATTGAAATTTGCTTAATGATTTAACTGTAAATGATGAAACAAACTTTAGTTGTAGTCCAAATCTATATATTTATATATTAAGTTATGTATTCATATAATATTTTTAACATATATAATATATATATGTTAATTGTTTAAATTAACCTATACTAAATTTATTAAAAAACAGTAGACTCTCTCGTATGCGAACTAATGTGGGCGAGAGTGATTCGTATAAGAAAATGTGATAATTTTTAAACAAGACAGTAACACATATGCCTACTGTATGTATAAGAAATGTTTATGTTGACTTTGACGCTTATTTTTGACAATTATAATTAACACAATACTTTCAAAATTAATTGTAAAGTTGTTTGTTTTGTTCTCAATTCGCCGAGGAGCTGATACGTCACGCCAATGCCTCATCATTATCAGGTCAGCAGTAATTGATGCTCTTCTACGAACTTTAAGGTAACCTTAATAAAAAAAAAATTAAAAAATATACCCAGTGCAATATGGAAAGGTAAGATTTGGAGTAGTGGACAATATTTTCGGAAATTTTTGGTTGCTTTTGATCAGTCCGGATATGGGAGAATCTACGGTAGAGTATGAAATGGATGAATTATTATAATGACAATTAACAGAATAATACTTTAAAAAATACGATTTCATTATTTTATTAAATAGTCTACTTATTTTTTAGGGTATTATCTAAAAAATGTAAAAATCTTGGGGATCATTTTGGGGATCTTGGGGATTGACCGATCGCCATACTTTCCTAGCTGTTATATGTAACAGAGTAAAATAAAAAGTATACAAAACTTCTTTAAAATTCTTAAATTCTGTTCTATTTAAGTAAATCATATAACTTAAAAATTCTATTTTTCATTAATTAAATTAATCTAAAGTAAATATTAACAATTGCATAATAAATTATTCATTTATATTATGATAAAGTTAACTTAATAATTTTACCAATATTTATCGATGTAAAACTTTTGTAATAACAATATAAATAACGCTTTTTTTTTCGTTGTTACTTTTTTCTAATAATTTACTATTAATTCTGTTTATTTTCAGGCGTTCACTTAGATAGCTATCGGATATCTCTTTGGATTTACGTTAGCGAGAGCGACGAACTAGCTGTTTGGAAATTGCCATTAGTATCAGACTGTGAGTATCTGATAACGTACTCAAATTTATTTTATGTAGATGTATCTTAAATGTATCAAATTCATGTATATTTAAAGTTACTTTTATACTTCTATATTGCTAATTCTGTCTAAATAATGTATCTACTCTGCAGCAAATAGTAAAGAATGTTAACATTTTGTAAGCATTTCTCAGAAATAGAATAGATCCGAATTATAATTCATTTATCATCATCATTATCATCCGAATCATTTAAATGCATTAGTTAATAAAGACACCAAACTGCTACTCAATATTGATTTTTCTATAATCGAAAAATCTGCTATATCCTAATATAGCAATTTTGTTAAGATATATATGACTATAGATTTGATGAGATTTTCGAAATTTAATAAAACTTACCAACGTAGCTTAAGGAAACTCTTACAGATCAATAACTATACGCGAGAAAAATAAGATTTTTATTTTTTATTTTTAATAGATTCTACATCATCCTTAACTTAAAAAAAATTAAAATTTTAGGATAATTTAAAAATAAATATTTAATTATCAAATTATACATTTTTTAATTATTAAAAATAATTAAGAAACGTGCACTGTGGGCGATGAGGCCTTTTTTATAAACCCATCATGAATTTGGCTATGCCACAATGGAGCTGGCAAGTGGTGAGGGACAGGGCCTACATATCCGGGTATCGGGCCGATCTGTATAAATATTGGGGGCCAATGACAATTGGTAAGAAAAATTTCTCATTGTCTGTTTTTGAATGGATGTACTGTACTGTACATACAATACAGTATTTTTTTAAAAAACTCTTTCCGCTCTTTGGGCTCTTATAACAAGTCCATTATGGGTTCGGCCAGGTTCACAATGGGGCGGCCGGGTGGTGAGGGACGGGGCCCGACATATTCGGACGGACTACCATCCGAAAAATACCTGGGGATTTGAACCCGGGTCCCCAGAGCGGCCATCAGCCGGATGGCCGTCTGAATGAATTTACTGTGCAAAATAAGGTGTATTTGTTGTGTACAGTACGCGTTTCTGTTTTTAATTTTTGTAGTATGCTATAAAAAAAAAACACTGGGAGGGGAACAATTTGCTGGTAAAATTTGCTATTAGGTGACTGTTCTCCTCTGTCCAGTATAGATCAACGCCATTGTATCCTGGACAGAACCCACGAAACGTTTATAATATTTTTATTTTCAATTTTATTGCTTGAGATATTTATGCTTCAGTAAAGGAATAAATTAGAATATCATACAAACTAAAATTTTATTGAGAGAAAAAATTTAATAATATCTTTCCAGATTAAAATCAATTCGAATAAAAAAGTTATTCTGAGAAGTAATGTATTTTATAAATAAAATGAAAATAAAAATGGCAATTTTTAGAAATATTTTTCCCCCATTTATAAGTATACTAAAACTTATACTACAGTGTATATAGACGTCCACACCTAGGTAATTTTATGTTTTTCAGATGTTGTAAAGGTTAAACTAATATTAGGCTAAAAATATCATTAGTCATCATATACAGTACTTTGTAAACACATTATAACGATCAAACTCGTTTTATTGTTAAATTTTAATGAGTGAATATTAATATAATAAAAACGTATCAAAAGACGTTTAATAATTTTTCATTCTTCAATAAATTAAAAAAAAAATCTCACTCAATATAAATACAGTATTTCATTGACGTCATATTAGAAAATAGGGCATTAGAAATTGACGTCACTATGACGTCTGAACATGTGATTTTGTAATACACATAAAAAAGTAATCTATTTCAATCAGTGGCCTATTACATTAATGTAGGATATTTATATGTTTAATAATAATTATTATATTCAAATATATAAGAGTTTTTGATAATCAGTTTAAATGATAATGTATATGATAAGGTATACTCATTATTTAATATATTTTTTTTCTGATAAAACTTAATATTCATTCTGCCATAGCAATGATAATTATATATTGAAAAATTGTTTTCGAATTTTGCTTTTTTTGGTCGATAAATAATTTATTTTTTTAGAAAAGAAGAACGAAATTTTTATATACCAAATTTTTATTTAATTATAGACAAAAGAATTAATGCAAGTTTTCAAGATAAAATGTTAAATGCTGTCATTAATAAATCAATCCCCAGATACTTGTTTTATCGATAAGCTTAATGGCTGAATGATGTTTAATGATCTTGGTTGTAATAATCTTGAAAATTACTTTGAACTTAATTAATAAAATCATTTTTATGATTTATTTTTCTGTTTATGACAATGTAAGTTATTAGTCTGAATGTTATGAACTCTTACAATGTAAGAGACTAATAAAACTCTTATGTGAACATCATGTTTTCTTTTCATTACTTGGTATATTTAATCCAAAATTTAATAATAAACAAAAGGTGCAGTTTACATATATACTAGTCATTTTAAAATATTTTAAAAACTTGTAATATGTTCAACAAGTAAGTAGGTTAGTTGATATGGTTTATTAATTAATAAAAGTTTGGTCACTTTGATTTGTAAGAGATTTAAACTTTATTGGTATCTCAAGATGTTCCTCATCTTCAATTGGTCACTGCACTCTGATCTAACTACTGTAATCCAAAAAAAGCATTTGATTAGTTCCTCATCTTGGACTATTATGTTATGAATTATTTTTAACATAGCATACTTAAAAAATTCCTAGTTTTGATATAATGTATATATAGTATCAATATATAAATGATAACCAAATATATTTTAAAAATGTATATCATCTTTTATATAGTTTTTCATTTTCAATAATATACTGTGATTTATATTTAGCCCTATTTCATTTTAGTATCTGCTGAAAGTTTTTAATATAAGTTTTCTATGTAATCCTAGGTGTGTTATACTTAAGTTTTCATTTTCTTAATAGAATTTTGAATTTTTTAGGTTGCAGTTGGCTTTATATAATTATTATTATTATATATAAGGTTATAAACATGTTTACAAAAATTTAATATTTATTAATATTTAAAGTAAT